TAGAATAGTGTTAAGCCTGTAAAAAGAAAATAAAATCACAATATGTCATGTATTCTACAACATGGATGAATGTTTGGGGACATTGTGCTAATGAAATAAAATGTTTATGTAAGTATAAATACTGCATAATTCCAGCTATATGAGGTGTCTCAAATAGTTACATGCCTGGAAATATAGTTATATGGGTTGCCACAGGCTTGGTGAATGGAGAAAGGAATTGTTTGATGGATATAAGCAATGAAAAATTCTAGAGACTTTGTGCAACAAAGTGCACATAGTTAACACTACTGTGGAGCATGCTTGAAATCACTGAGATGGTAAATGTTATGTTCCTATTTTGGTCACAATAATTTTAAAAATAACCAGTAAGGAAAGTTTAAAAAATATTGATCCTGGGACCCTGAGTCTGTCCTCTTCATAAAATTAGAAAAGTTGAGCATATACATATATATAATTTGATCATGTAGATTGGATAATGTAATAGAGATTATGAAGTCAAGCTCCAGGGAGAAGGAACAGAAATAGCTTGGCATTAGGCAGCTTCTCCTTTAGAATAATTGGTTGATTCTCAAATGGGCTCATGAGAATCCACAAACTGAGAGCTGACTTCGATCTCCTTCAAGGTGAGAAGGATAGAAAGGTAGAGTTTGTAATGTGTATGGACAAGGAGCTTTGTTCAATCCTTTCTTTAGTGGGCAGGAATCCCAAACAGCTCAGTAAACCCACAAAGACCCTGAGGTTTAGGTATGGAAGGTGTAGGACCCAGATTCCCAGGCTGGGGTAACCTAGGATACCAGTGCCCTAGAGAAAACATCCCAGTTCTCAAGCCACCATCACAATATGTTGAAAACCATGCACTGAATATAAACCAACTGGAGAATATGGGAAAACAAAACCATCTTTTTAAAAACCAACAAGAAAAAAGGATTACAGATGATAGAAACACAAGATACATAAAATTAACAGGTGTTCATAGAAACAAAAATATATGTATTAATTGCATATTCAGAATGTGTTCAAAGGAAAAAGATGAAATTGATGATTTTACCATGCTATGGAAAACAAAAATTTTTTTTTAAATTTAAATCACACTGGAAATTTTTAGAACTAAAATTTGGTGTCATTTAAAAACTCAATGTCTGACTTCAATGGTAGTTTAAAAACTGTTGAAAGAGAATAAGTATATTGGAAATTGATCAGAAGAAAACACCTACAGGAGAAAAAATGATAGAATAATTCTTAAAGCTACCCAATCAAAAGTTTCCTTTCTAATATCAACATGTAGCAATAGGAATTATAAAAAATAAAACAGGAAAAAGACTGGAAAAAATAAAAGAATGAAACAAAACCTCAGCCCAGGAGCCCAACATGCACACAACTGAAATTCTACCTGAAGAAGAAATGAGAAGAACAGGCAGAAAAAGACCTGAAGAAATATTTCCCAAATGTGATTTTAAAGAGCCTACAAAGTGGCAGACTGGGAAATGCAGGGAGGCCTGTGCTGAAGGAACAGGAAAGAAACCATACCACAGCACAACAAGCAAACCATGGAAAACTGGAGATAAAGAGCAAACCTTGAAAGAAGATGCTGCAAAAATGACAGATTAACTAGAAGAACAAGTCTCAAACCGACAGCAGTCAGGACAGGAACAAGAGCCAGAATAGAATGAGGCAACATCTTTAGGACAGGAGCAAAAGCTGTCACTCTAGAGTTCTATGAATGTTTTTAGGTCATAGGAGAGCTGAGAAAATTCAATATAAGTAAAAACCATTCAGAAAGAGGAAAATATCACCATATGGAATCAGGATCTAAATAAACAAATGACGAGCGTTGGGGATGGTAAAAACAAAAGTAAAAAGATTCAATGTATGTTTAGTCTATCAAAAGATAACTGATTGTTTAAAGAAAAAAATTAACAAAGCACACTGAAAGTGTAAAACATATGGTAGAGGCAAAAGGTATAAAAATAATAACACAAAAAATATGGCAGAAAGAGAAACATATTGAAATACATTGGTGTAAGGTCAATAATGGAGATAATTTTAAAGTAAAATTTTAAAGTACACTGAATTGAACCACAAGAACACAATAAGAAAAAAGAAATAGAGAACAAAGGAAAAGTTGATAAGAATCAAAATCATATCTTTAATACCAATTATAACCATAACGATGTAAAATGAAATGGTTTCAACATTTCCATAACAAAGGTGAGATCGTAAGACTGGACCAAAAGGATGATCCAACTACATGCAGCATTCAAAACTCCACTTTAATTATAAACCTAAGGGCTCCATCAATATCAGCCAAGAAGCATTCAGGATGAATATTCACAGGGAAACAAAGGGTCATTTCAACCCTTACTTTGTGAGTCAGTGCAAGAAACTGAATGTTTAAATAGTATTTTATGGAAAAACCCAAACTTTGACATCTTTAATGACAGTTATCTAGTACTCTCATGCTAAACACGTTCTGTAGAAAGAGAAAATATATGTTTAGCAAAAGAGAAAAGTGACTTTCACATTTAGACTAAGTAGAGGGGACATTGCTCAGAATCTTGATTGCCTATATTAGTCTTATATTCTTGCTAATCAGATAAAAATGTGCCATCAATCCAAATTAAGAAGCAAAGATTATCCTTTACTAATACTACAAATTCCTATATTGTTTTCTACTTACGATTGTCCAAGTTTTAAATGATTGTATCTCAATCAAAGAGTTTGTGTTGTAAAATAACATAGAAAAGTCTTGAAAAAATTCGAAGGTATGCAGTAGGAACTCTTATTGTTTATTGTTATGGTTTATGTCTGTGTGTCCCCTCAAAGCCTCATGTGGCCATGGGGCAGGCTTTTAAAGTTTGATTAATTATGGGTGTGAGAGCTACACCCGCCCTGGGGTGGATAATTTGCATATGTAAGGGAGAGGAAAAGGGTGCTTGAGGCCATTCTTGGCTTTTGTGCTTGTTGCTTTGCTGTGTTCTGCCACCCTGAGCTGTAGCTCTCTGCCATGTGCCACTCTGCCTTGTAATCTGCCAAGTACGGACTGAAAGCTCTACAAACTGTAAGCAAAATAAACCTTTCCTTCCTTAATTTTGGGCGTCAGGTATTTTGTCTCAGCAATGAGAGAAAAGTAACCAAGACATTTATAATAGGAATATAGAATAAGACATGAGTTCCTGACCTAAAGGAATTTGCAAACTTGAGAAATGTCCTTTTAAGATATGAATATTTGGCAAAGGTATTTTTTGTGTTGATAATAAAGCTTTCTGATTTAAAGGGTAACTATTTGAGCAAAATTTAACTTTAGATGAATGTGATCAGCATTTTGAAATTCATTTGCATTTTATAAAACTTCATTTTTGTGTTAGGGAATCAAACTCAACAGACAGATTTTAAGCTGCCAACCACACTGACTAAAGGCTGGGTCTTCACTGAACATCTAAATTTGACAGTGATTGACTGAAGCACCTTAATCTGTTTGCTGTTTGAATCTCCCCATTTCCTCTATCAATCAGAACTTAGCCTCTTCTCAGAACACATTCATGCTATGAAAGTTATAAATGAAAACAAGAAGCAGTCAAAAATGTCTTCAGTTATCATTAAACTTAGCCATATTTCATAGCATTCATCTCTCCTAAGCCTTTACATCCATCCAAAAAACTGAGCACAGCTTGAAAGTTGTACTTATATGAAAACATTTTATCATCTTAAAAATATCTTTCTGATTTTGAGAGTGGAAAATATATACTCCACTCTTGATTAACTATTTGAAGTTTACAGAACTTTGTCCTTAGACTAACAATGTATTAATTCACATGTGAGTAAAAGTCTGAGCCTCTTATAATACTCAATATAAGGATTTTAACTGATTTTTTTTAAGATTCAGCTATGTCTTAAGACATGGATATATTTCTTATATACTTTGTGCTTCTATAAAATTACTAAGCATTTTAAAGGCTAAAAGAAATGCAAATAAAGGATAATCAGAAGGTTTTGTCTGATACAAGCTTAAAATTTTTCACTCTCAACCAAGTCTATTATCAAGAAAGGTTATGACCTGACATTAAGAAGAGAAACAAAGGATTTTGATTTTCTTTGTGTTCTAATCCTCCAGCAGCTAATACATATTTTAACTGCATCATCTAAATGCAACATTATGTAAAAAGTACTTTCATTAGTTATCAAAAATAGGAATTAACCCTATAAGCTTTTACTTGGAGCATTTTAATGCAAAGAAAAGCTATCCCCTTTACTGAAAGAAGATGGGTTTGAGACAAACACACCTGAATTATAATCCTGGTTCTACTCTTGACAGAGTAATATATTTTCTCTCAGCTAATAATAAATGTGAATACAGTATCTGTCTTTAAAAAATCACTAAATAGTATATGGCACTGATCCTAGAAACTGCATAACAATGGTATCATTATCTAAGTAGCAATTCTAAATAAAGTATCAATTCAGGAAGGGCAAGTTGCTCTGATTTATCATTATTATTATTATTATTTATTATTATCATTATCATTATTTTCCATCTCATCTGCCTGATCCTGGTGGTAAGCACTGGAATCCCAGCACTAAGCAAGACAAGGAGTCTCTGTCACTGGAGTTAGCTCTAGCAGACAATGCAGGATGTTTTAAAGAGAGATGGGCAGAAAGAGCCATGGGCAGAACAGGGCTGGAGGCTGGCAATGGCGGAGATGACCTGGGGAGCAGGACAGAGCTACATTTACACTAAAAGGCAAGTTGAGGAGCGGTAACCCAGACTTACAGCTTAACGTATTTGGTCTTTAGTAAAAAGGATCATTGACCTCTGCTCTAAAATTCTAATTCTGAAGCATCATGAATTTATGATTTGAAGAAAAAGGGGAATGAGAAGTAAGCTAAGGTCTATACTTGCTTACCAACTGAAGCTAAGATCTGTATCCATTAACCATGTGGAAGCAGATCTGATATTTTATGCTGAAGTTTAGTGATTTTTTTTTCTTTTCTTTCCTGTAAAGCTGGGAATCAGAGTTCAATCAACACAACAGAAGTATCAGGTAAGTTCATTTTTTTCTTCTTCTCCTGTTACAATCACGGGTCAAATCCCAAGAATGAGTCAAAGCCAGGCCGCACAGTTTGAGAGCTGGGTGAAATGCTTTGGGAAAGGGGCACAGACAGAGCAACCAAACCATTTAGGAGACCTTGCGTTTAAAGACAGTGCCGACTAAGACCCAACACACAACACCTCAGAGCTCAAACTGAGGCCGGTAGCTCCTGGCCTGTTCTGTGGCCGGTGTCCCTTGCCACAGGACAGGGCATCTCCTCTGTATTTGCAACAGTGTCCAGACCTGGTCTCCTAAGTGACACTGGTGGAGGCCACAGCCAACAATCCACAGTGTCAGGCTTGCCTTGCTCTGCTCCTTAGTTTTGCCCTGCATGAACTTTAGGTGATGGAGCAGTGATGATGAGCGCAAGGTGAGTTTTCCTATTGTTCTAAAACTATAACAATGTGGGAAGTTTTGATCTTCCTATATCTTACTTGGTATTTGTACAAATGCCAAATCTCATGGTTTCTCAACCCTGGCCCCTCTAACATATGTAAAATAAAAGTGTAAAATAATCTTCAAAATTATGCAACTAAAATAAAAGCAGGAAAAGATATCTGAGAGACTAACACCATGTTCATAGCAAGTGTCCTGGACAATGTTAGTCTACTAGTTACCTCCTTTGTCAAAGAAATTTGAAGCAGATTATTATGCTTTTAACTTTTAATTACTTCCTGCTACATAATATGACACATTAATAATGGATTTATTTGTATTATTAATTTTCTTTCATCTTGTCATTTTTTATATTATTTCCATCTTCAAAATCTAGAAATGTACATACACTATGCTACACAAAGCCCTGCACCCAGCTGGGGTTAGGGTGGGTTCTGAGGGTCTCCCTGCTTCATGGATTCACCATAGCAAAGACATCAGGCATGCAGGAGAACTAGGATTCCCCAGCTGTAAACTGTTGTTAAGGAGGGGCCCAACACCCTTCATTCTGCTCAGGTGTTACATTTACAAAGTTCCAGTTACAACCGTAAATGTTGTTAAATGGAATATATAACACATTTAGGCTAATTTAATTTTTTTGAGTTACATAAACTACTTCTAAAACAGATGAGACAAATAATTGTTTGAATAACAGATGAAAAGGAAATGAGACAGCTGTAAATAAAAAGAAAAGCCTTTCTCATTTCTTTATGTGCTAAAAACAGATGTATGTTGTGACTAAAGACTAAATCCAGACTCACCCTTACTCAGAGATGAATTAACAAATTTATTAACATGTTAATACCTTATATGTTAGTCGAAACTTCTAATTATTAGTTTTATGTCATCATTCATATTAAAATAAAAAATTTAGAAAATATTTACCCATAGGATCAAAGATAGGCCTATTATAAAAATAATTAGTTTTTGTCTTTTAGATAAAAGTTGATATAACATTCTAGCCCATAGCATTGCTAATACTGCTCACCTTCTATAAACGTGTAATTGCTAAAGAATAGTCTCTAAGGGGTTAGGGATTTAGCTCAGTGGCAAAAGCGCCTGCCTGGCAAGCGCAAGGTCGTGAGTTCGGTTCCCGGTACCGGAGAAAAACCAAAAAAAAAAAAAAAAAAAGAATAGTCTCTGAATATATTATACACAGTTCTCCAATTTGATGTTTTGTTTCATAATTTGTATCTAGCTTTCATTTCCTTTAAAAATTACATTTTATCACCTACTTCACCAATGACTAAATTTTTGTACATTGGATTTGATAATAATTATCAAAAATTTTGATAATTATTGTACATCATTGATTATTATTTATTGAGGGGTTAGGATAAGTAAGGCAATTCTCTATGAATGTGAATGATAAGCAGCTATACATAGAGATGATGCTTAGCATTATAAAATAAAGATGAGCCAAATATGTGGAAACACAGGTCAAGGACCAAAGACCCATCCATTCACTGGAGCCCAGCAGGAAGACAGCAGAGGGCTGTGCTAGCTAATGCTTCATGCACAGTTCCTGAAGCCTGCTCGAAAGTCAAACCTCAGCTGCCCACTGCAGCAGACCTCATAAGGCTTCAACTTTAGTATGATCCCCTGCTAACTAGGATGGAATAGTATACTCAGTCAGCTACTGCTAACCAAGGCACTCAACAAGTGTTCATTCTGCTCCTGTTTCATGTAACACTCGGAGTTATGAGAGGCAGGCAAAGTCTGCCCTTAATGTTGCTGGGGGGACCAGCCAATGTCACAAATAACTGCAATAACTCCAACAGCCAGGTGGATAGTGATGTTATGAGCAAGCATATGTAGGTTCCAAGGAGGGAGAGTTGTGTTTCTGCTTTTGCTTTTGCTTTGGTTATGTATCCACCGAATGAGGAAAGCAGTTTAAGAAGGATACGGAAAAGGCTCACAAAAGAAGTGACCTTCTAGCTGCCGGATTATTCTATTTACTCAGTTTTCTAATTCTGATTCCAGAGCTAACAGGAAGATGGAAGGACCCACTGGAAAGCACCCTAGGCTGTTCAGTCCCTAGAAATGGAGGCAGAGGTTGCATACCTATGGCAGCAACTTTAAACCATGTTGGAACTCACTTTCTTTAGCCTTATTATTTTCTCACACACAATCAGTGCTAATGACTTTTCCTTTAAAATAAACCTTTTTATTGACAGGTGATCTCAGCCTTGAAAATGTCTGAATATACCTCAGGGGTTAGGAAAGGAGTGAACTATTTGCCCTTAATTTCCTGGGAAATAGCACTATATTACTTCTACGAGTGTTCTCCAGATAAATAGAACCACTGAATTGTTTGCATAGAAAAGGACTCAATTAAAGTGTTATGGTTGTGTCTAGATGTCACCCCAGTCCCTCTGGCAGTCATAGCTGGGGCTTTTCCAGAGGTGGCAAGATCTAGTGTGTGATCCTGGGATTTAAGGGTGTGTGATTACTAAATTAGTTCCAGGATTGGTTTGGCATCCGCCCTAAGCACAACAGCCTAGATAGAGTATAAAAGGGGCAGAAAGAAGCTGTTATTGTGACTTGTAGTTTGGTTCCTTCTACCTTCTGTCTTCTTCCCACCATGAATTGTTTCTCCTCTGTGGTGTCTGTCAGGGTAGGAGCAGCTTGCTCTTCATTCTGCTCAGGTTGTCACCAGTTTGGATGAGGCCTCATGTTAGGCATAGAACTCTGCTTTGCTTGGCCTCCATTCAAACACCATCTCAGCCCACAGCACTGCACATGCACACTCAGAGTAGTGCCTGGACACATAGCTGGATACCATGGGTCTTTGTATTGAAACATACAACAGGCATCTCCAACCACATTGCAGACATCAAACTTGACAGAAAGAGAGCAGCAAGAGCAGGCTTTACAGTCCCACAGTTGGAACTGTTTTCTGGGCTCTGCACTCTATTTCCGGATGTTGGCTGCTGATCGTGAGGAGCTCATATAAAGTGAAGCATAGAGACTTCTGTGCCAGGGCTGCTGGTCTTTTTCTGACTATGAGTGGCAGAAAGCTGACACTGGTGTTGGTTAGCATCTATACAATCTAGAAATATGCCTGTAGCAGAGGATAAAGGAACTCACTTATAGAATGAAAAACATATCAAGGTCTTATAGTGAAGTCTGACTTCACTTCCTCATGGAAGTTGCACAGATTCTGATTATGGCTAGGTGGTTTCTTACCTGGTTCTGATGCCTGATAGGTGTGAAATAAGCTCTCTTCCCTGTTCTTATAATATTCCAGTTGTTATAGCTTGTCTCTAGATATCCCCCCACGAAAGCTTCATGTGGTCATAAGTGGGGCTTTTTCAGAGGTGGCTGAATCTAGGGTGTGTGACTGATTCACAGTGCAATGCTAGAATCAAGGGTGGGTGATTACTGGATCAATCCACTGATTGGTTTAGGACTGCCCTACTCCTGGAAGCCTCAAAACAATATAAGGGACAGAAAGAGGCTTGTCATGTCCCTTGCTTCCTTTTGCTGCCTCCTGCCTGCCATGTACTATTTCTCCTCTACAATACCCCTCTGCCATGCCACCCTGTCTTGGAGTAGCCAGTTATGGACTAAAACCTCTACAAACTATGAGCCAAATAAACCTTTCCTCCTTTCACTTTGGACATCAAGTCTTTTGCCTCAGCAATGAGAAAAGTAACTAAGACAGTAGTCTACAATGACAGACCCTAAAGATTCCCTTTAAGAACCAAAATATTTCAGTAGTATTGCTAAGGGAGTATACTTCTCTGATGAGCTCCAAAATATGCTTTATTTGCTGCATTATAATCCATCCTGTCTCCTTGTACCTACCTACCTGTTTTTTTTTTGAACTGTCAAAGGAAGGAGGTGTTCAACTTGTTTGGACGGGAAGAATACCTTGGGGCAGACATTGAAGACAGTTTATACCTCACATCACACGGATAAGGGGCACATCCTTCCAGCATATCCATCCCAAAACACAGCAGTGGAGGAAGAGATTCATGATAGAGGCACAGGCTCTAGAGCCTGCAGGGAAATCTTGGCCCTGTTTCCAACATGTTGTTGGACCTGGGCCAATTCCATAATCTCTCAGCCTCAGTTCTGACTTTGCAAAAATGCAAACAATAATGCAATTACTGGTGAATTAATGATATTTGTATAATAATTGGAAAGATGCCTGGCACACAAGGAACCATGAAGGTATGAAAATAATATTTTTTTTTAATTTCATGTCCATATTTAGATTGACAGGGAGAGTAAGGACATTCTATCTAGAACTTTCATTATACTAAGAACAAATTTCATTAATCTTATGGATAATAATACCCTAAGCAAGTAAGATGAACTTGCTTAAAATCTGTTGGTTATATGGCTTAATACAAAGACAAAGGAGAGGATTTTGAGTTATATTTAGCTTACATTTAGCTCTTTTTCCTCTTACTGTCAAATGTATCACCTTATCTATGAGCCACACTCTTTCATCTTTAAAATCATGAAATTAAAAATGTTTGCCAAACAATGAAATGAATTAGAATACG